AAAAGAATTTTTCTAATATGCATCTTAACTAGGTTAAAAGTGTTTTTTCACCATAAATATGTATAAAAATGTAAAAATTAACATTAATTTTAAAGTTATTATCACTTAAATAAATTTAATTAAATAAATAATAAATTATATATCAATATTTATTTTTTTAAAACTATTAATCTGTACCATTAAAACACAAGTTAAAAAAAATCCTTCTAAAAAAAAAAGTACAACAAGGATGATCAAAGAAAAGAAAAAATTACAACGAGAAGCATTTATTTTATGAGGTCATTAAAGTTTTACAACAACATACACTCTAAGGTATTCGCTAAGTTTAGCCGCGCGACAAAGTTTGTGCTAGCAGCTTTTAATAGGCTAATAATGTATATAAAATATCTTTACTTATCCTAAGATTTAAATCTTCATTGAAACGATTGCAATATTTTGTTCTTTTTTTCAAAATTCCCTTGGTTCATAAGAAAAGAAGGGTTCATAAGAAAAGAATCCACTAAAGTTTCTGAATGCAACTCTTCTATCTCTCTCCCTTTTTTTTCCCCCTTTTTTGAGAATAAGAAACTTCAAATCTTCTATCCTTGCCCTTGGATATCACAAGGGAGCGAACATGCAAAACAGAAACTGAAGTGTGACAGAACAGCGTAAAGACCGTGACACTCCAATAATATGAGCCCAAGAACCAGAGATCTATTTTGACAACCCTACCCCACATTAGCTCTTATTAACATCTTCTTTCCTAGTTACACAGCCAATGCCAATATCATATACATATATCCACATGCACCAGCCGGGATAAGGGTTAAGTTATAGCACTGTCTGCAAACCTGCTGGAGCTGGTGTTATCTAGGGTTGTCACAAGAATTGTCCCTAGATGTGACATTGCTGCTTGGGCAATCCTTCCTTCCTTCCTTCCTTCCTTCTTCTGAATCAGACCTAAGAAACAAACAGAAGTGGTGAACCCCAGTTTAGGGAAGTACTAGTTATGATGAATGAATAATCTGCATGTCAGTTCAGATTATTATCATACAGTGTCTGCGGAACAGATTGTCCCTTGGCACGAGGTTGTTGTTCTGCTAATTTTTTCCTGCTCTGATATTGGACCTGAAAAATAAAAACAACAGAAGACTTAGATTTCTCATACACTTGCAGAATAAAGTATAGGGATATATTGAGAAAGCAACACTGTACATCAACAAGATCACAATATTAAAATTAATATGGGGCTGAAATCTCTGAAAAAACAAATGTTCTCTGTGAATATTACTCTGTCAAACTCTGATACATGGAAAAACTTTGTTTCATAAAATATATTGATGATTAATAGCATTGTGAAATTGAATTTTATAGTTTCCAAGTTGGATTGTAGAGATCAGTAATACAAGGATTCAAAGATGATGCATTTCATTTGTTTTGTTCATGGTCATTTCCAGCGCAATGATATTAATACACTTTCAATATGAAAGCCACAGTAGCTTTAAGCAAAAATACAAATGAAAAAGTGAGTTACCTTATTTTCAAAACATCTTTCTTTCCTTTTCTGACAAAATTTGCTCAATGCAGTCTCTCTTTGTGCAGCCCAACCTTCATCCACACCACTTGAACTGATTCTCACACTGATATCACCAGCTTCACTGCTTCCAGTTGGCCCATAGTCACTTTCCACATTTGTCTGTTCAGCATTGGCAGAAATCCTGCCACCATTAGGTCCATTGCTACCATGGTTGCTCCCTGAGCCACTTCCAGTTACACTGTAGTTTACAACATTACATTCAATGGGCCCTTCAAACGCATTTGATGAGCCACATTGCATGGCTGTTATTGCCGTACACTTAAATGCAGTCTCTGTCAGTGACTGCTGCCGCTGCATCTTCTCAACTGGATGGTGATAATAACCATGCTGGACGGTGAACAACTGGTTTGAGCCGTTAGGTTGTGCATCAACTGTGTCAAATGGTGAATTGCTTCCTACATTTCTGGTCGGAGCCTGGAAAATGGTGGAAAATCACATTACACCTAGACACAGGTTATGCAATCAAGGCAGAACACCCATTGCCACAAGCCATATATAAAATACGAAGGACAATTCTTGCATTCCACTGAAGAAGCCAGTGCACTTCAGTAAAGTTAATTGATTTCTATTCCTGGTAACTGACATGAAACTATCATCCCACCCACATTACAGTGTGGGAGATACTACTAACATAAACTAGGTGCAATTTTGCAGTGACTGAAACAGTATCCCCTAAAATAACATTTATTTGCAACATGAGGTGAAATTAGACCATACCTGATTAGCAGAAGAAGCAGTATGATATCTGTATATTCAAGCAAAGCAGAGAAAAAATTTAAAAAAAAAAGAGAGAAAGAGAAGGAGGAGAAGAAGAAGAAAGAAAAGGAGTGATTTTCAGTTTTACTCTACTGCATCATATAGGTACTAAACATGGTAATTTAAACCCTGCAAATTTGGTATCTTACTTGGAGAAAGTTGAAGAATCTGAATGCCTCAAAGCATTTTGGCCATCATTTGTAGCATTTTGACTAGCTCCATCTCCTGGTGGTGTTTTCAGAGTTAGTTCAAAGGATGGTGCCTCTCCAGAATTACAGCATGCTTTATCTTTGACATACAAGATATCAGAAGGGCTGAAGGAGTATCAACATATCTAGCTCCAGCTTTATGATTCATACAATTAGCAATTCCAGATATGATGGTAGGAGATAGATCTTTGCCAATCATATTTTCCCTCTGCTCCATCTGTCCACTCTCCAGCAACTGCTTACAATCTGTTTCAAGCACTCCATTCTGCCTTTTGCTTGTTTTATGTGTAGATAAATTGTCACATTCACATTGATGTCCAACTTTTAAAGCTGGATTTCTTTTAACTCCTATTTTCAAGTCCTTTCCCATTGGAGAATCATCTGGAAAATGGAATGCATACAACTTTATTTCCTATAATCAGGTGTAATCACAATTAGACAAAAAAAGTTAAGGAAAATGATTAAGTTCACCATTCTGTTCATCCTCTTCTTGGCATTCTTTTGACTCAGAAACGCATACACATTGATTGCCACAGGTTTCAGGCTTTGCTCGGATTGCCTGGCCACCAATGCTATCAGGAGCATCAGGCAATTGATTTGAGGGTGACGTTGGTTGAGAGCTCTCAGCTTCAGCTGCCCTTTTTGTCCATGAACTCTGCAGAATAAGAGGACAAAAAGGCTTGTATGTAGCAAGCAGTACCCTCTCAGATAATATTAGGATAAAACTGAAATCACAATTGTACTGAGACCCCCTCCCCAAGCCAATCCCAAAAAATGCAAATGGAATTGAGTAGTGTTACTCAACTACTTATTTGTCTATGGAAAACAGGTCTACTTGCCAATGTTTTACATTACAATATTCAGTTGGG